GCGCCTGCAGTACCACCGGCTCCAGCAGCTCCAGTGCCTCCAGTAAGAGCACCTCCGGGACCAGCAGCTCCAGCACCTCCAGGACAAGCAGCTCCAGTGCCTCCAGCTCTAGGGCCTCCAGCAGCAGGCCCTCCAGCTCCAGTAGCGCCACTCTGAAGGCGCCGAGCAAACCACTCGCGCAGCTGCGGTGGAGAGAGAGGCTCCCGCCGTGACGAGGCATCCGTAGGACGACCAGAAGACAAAGTACCTACAGGCTCAGCACGCTCAGGCTCAGCACCCCCAGGCTCCGCAACCCCAGGCTCCGCACGCTCAGGCTCAGCACCCCCATACGCAGCACCCGTAGCAGCACCACACCCAGCAGCACCAGAGTCGACAGGTACCTCGACAGGCTCGAAAGGGTCTACCTGGGACACACCTGAGGGAGCAGGACCCTGAGGGGGGAGGGGGTCTACCGGAGGAGGACCTGGTGCGAGGAAGAGCGGCGGGGGGGGGGGAGAGGGGCAGTGCGGTAGGGGAAGAGACGGTAAAAGGGAACCGACTTGTCAAACGTTACGTCCTGAGAGGAGGACACGGCGCGAGGTGGGGTGGTAAAATTGCCAGCCAGGCGCGTTGGTGGGAAAACCAAGGAAGACACCAGGAATGGCGCGGGAGGAGAGCTTGTCTGCGGAGGTATCGCGGACAAAGTCACGAGATCCCCAGACCCGGAACACCGACGCATCGCCAACCTCTCCTATCCAACGCAGTGTCGGCGAGGTCTCCGTCAGACACGGGGTAAGAGGTGGAGCTGATGCGCTGCGTACCGGACCGCAAACGGCCACAGAAAATGGGGGGCAGCCGCATGGATCATGGAGGTACGAGCGACCTCCATGACTAAGCCAATGCGGCGCTCAGCAACCCCATTCTGCTGCGGAGAGGCCGGAAGCGTGAACGGCTCGGTGATGCCCTCCCCACGACAAAAGTCCCGCAAGAGGTCGGAGGCAAACTCACCACCTCTGTCAGAGTGCAGACGCAGGACCGGAAGGTCCGTGTCGAACCGCTCGCGGAGCTGGAGACGGACAGCGCGGATCCAAGGGATCAAAACATCAAGGACCTCCCCCTTGCTGCGCAAGGGGAAGACCGTGGTGTAACGCGAGTAGTTGTCAACAACCAGCAGAAAGTACCGCTCGCGGCCTTGTCCACGGACGCGGGCTGGGCCCCACACGTCCATGTGAAGAGTCTGCAGAGGAGCAGTCGTCGGGGGAAACGAGGAGGAGTGAGGAGCGGCGCGCTGCCGCCCCTCGAGACACGGAAGGCAGGGAGGGGCAGGCGAGGGGAGGCAGAGACCTGGGAAGACCAGAGACAAGGAGACGGGAGTGCATGCCACGGAGGCGTGGCAGGGAGGGGTGACCTAGGCGGTGGTGCCAAAGGAGAGTCTGGTGCGACAGGAGGCGACACAAACAGGGGGCTGCTAGCTGACCTGACGCAGACGCAGATGCAGCTACCTGAGGAGGCTCGGTAGTCAGTGCGTACAGGCTCGACCCAGGCCGACAGGTGAACGTGGCCAGGTGACATCCCGTCCGTGCACACGTGCAGATCGCCGCACGCTGTCCTCCAGGGATAAAGGTATCATCCCAAGCATCCTGAAGGACGGCGTTACACACCAAGTTCGTAGAGAGCGAGGGGAGGTGAAGACCTGACAGTGAGCCAGACGGGACCGCCGGACGTGGAGGAACGTGCACGAACCGGTCCCCCAGAGGGGTCAGCTAGAGAGACTGCAACCGGTGCTGCGAGTGGTGTGACTGTGGTGCTGTCGCGAAAGAAGCAGCGGGAAGCACCTGAGTCAAGTGTGAAGGTGTGCAAGGCCTCAGCAGGCGCAGTACCAGAGAGAGCAGACTCACCAGCACCTAGAGCAGACTCACCAGCACCTAGAGCAGACTCACCAGCACCTAGAGCAGACTCACCGGCACCTAGAGCAGCAGCCTTTATACCAGGGTCTAGCGGCACACACAGGTAACAGTCACCCGGAGTACTAATAGTCAAAGCATACATGGCTGTGAGGATAGAGTCATAGTCCAAAGCAAAGATATCCACACCCTGCCTAAGCAGCTCTAGCCAGCGGGGGAGCTCAGCCGCGTCGCCAAACTCTGCGCGTGACGGCGTAGCGCAAGGCAGGGTGTGGGGTAGCGCGGTAACCGCAGTCGGTCACCAGCTAATGGTGGGCCTGAAAAAAAAACGGTCCTACTGACCTACTGCTCTGATACCATGTCATAAACTAAGGAGCAGGAATGAATTCATTGATCAGGAACGTGGTACAAGTGCTAACCCTAATTGGGTTGTACCCTATATAGGCTACCCCACTACAGCCTACACAACACAAGCAGCATTATAGTTTGACAATTTGTGTCACAAAGCGGAGGTACCGCTCTGTACCGAATCGAACCTAAGTTCGAAATGTTTTAACAAAGCTGTTCCATTCGGTACAGAGTGGTACCTCCGCTTTGTGACACAAATGTCCAGACAGGAATGTACCCCAAGATGCATCGATGATGCAACATAGGTTGGTCTGGCACGCTAAGGTGATTGCCCCACCGGCGATCACAACCTAAGTTGCATACACGAGGCACTTTAGCACACACCTCGAGACAGACACAAATGATACGGTACAAACAAACGACAGTACATATCACACATACACAGAGGCACACAAACACACATACACACTGACACGCACGCATACACGCAATCAAGCACAAATACATACAGATAATAAAGGCGCAACAGTTGCGAATGGAATTCAGTTTCCATCGCTAGCCTATCCCCCTTTGCCCTCCCTATACCCTTCCTTTCCCCCATCCCTCATCTCCCTCCCAACCCCTCCCTCATCTCCCTTCTCTGCCAAACAAAAACAAAGAATGCAGCTCACGCGCCCTGCACAGAGCAAAAACAGAGAATGCAAAGCATACGCCCTGCAAAAGAAAAAAGGCAAAAACAAAGAATGTTCACACACTGTAGAAAAAAAACAATAAAACATATAATGCTTCCCTGCGAGGAGGCCAAGCAGGAAACACAACTCACCCGCATAAAGCAAAAACAAAGAGAGTGCAGCTTACACATGCACTTGAAACAAAATAAGAAGAGTAGAAAAAAGTTGTTGAAAAAAGCATAGATAAATCAAAGACAAGCAATGTAAATTTGACAACTCACAGAGGTAAAATGGTGTGGCACCATAGGACTACGCCAACATGATGCAATACCTTGCAGCCACCCTCACGTTCAACTTCACACTCACGCTCGCACTCACTCTTGTACTCAATCTTGCACCCACTCACACACAGACACAAATACTCTCAACTTTCTTAGACACTCTTTCAAAAACAAACACACAAACCTACACGCTCTCGCACGCGCTCTCTCACGCGCACTCTCTTGCACACTCTCAGGCGCACTCTCACGTGCACTCTCACGCGCTCTCTCACGCGCTCTCTCACGTGCTCTCTCGTGCGCACTCTCACGCGCACTCTCGCAAGCACTCTCACGCGCACTCTCACGCGCACTCTCACGCTCTCTCTCACGCGCTCCCTCACGCGCTCTCTCACGCGGTCCCTCACGCGCCCTCTCAAGCGACCTCTCACCTGCCCTCTCACGCGGTCTCTCACGCGCTCACTCACGCACGCTCTCACGCGCACTCTCACGCGCACTCTCACGCGCTCTCTCACACACTCTCTCACGCGCGCACTCTTACACGCACTCTCACGCGCACTCTCACGCGCACGCTCATGTGCACTCTCACGCACTCTCTCCCGCGCTCTCTCATGCGCTCACTCATGCGCGCTCTCACGCGCACTCTCACGCGCACACTCACGCGCTCTCTCACGAGCGCACTCTCACGTGCGCACTCTCACGCGCCCTCTCACACGCCCTCTCACGCGCACTCTCGCGCGCACTCTCACGCGCTCTCTCACGCGCACTCTCACGTGCACCCTCACGCTCTCTCCCACGCGCTCTTTCACGCGCACTCTCGCACGCACTCTCACGCCCTCTCTCATGCTCTCCCTCACGCGTCTCTCACGCGCTCTCTCACGCGCTCTCTCACATGCTCTCTCACGCGCTCTCTCACGCACTCTCACGTGCACTCTCACGCACTCTCTCACGCGCACTTTCACAAGCTCTCTCACACCCACTCATGCGCTCTCTCATGCGCGCACTCTCACACGCTCTCTTACGCACTCTCTCACGCGCACTCTCAGGCGCACTCTCACGCGCACTCTCACAATCTCCCTCACACACTCTCTCACAAGCTCCCTCACGCTCTCTCTCACACGCGCTCTCACGCGCACTCTCATGCGCTCTCTCACGCGCACTCTCACGCATGCACCCACGCTTTCTCACACGCACTCATGCACGCACTCTCACGCGCACTCACGCGCGCACTCTCACCCCCACTCTCACGCGCTCTCTCACGTGCACACTCTCATGCGCACTCTCACGCGCTCTCCCACGTGCTCTTTCACGCGCACTCTTACGCGGACACTCACGCGCGCACTCTCACGCGCTCTCTCCCGCGCACTCTCACACGCACTCTCACGCCCTCCCTCACACACTCCCTCACGCGCTCCCTCATGTGCACACTCTCACGCGCACTCTCATGCGCACTCTCCCGCGCTCTATCACGCGCACTCTCCCGCGCAATCTCGCGCGCGCACTCTCACGCGCTCTCTTACGCTCTCTCTCATGCACTCTCTCACGCACTCTCTCACGCTCTCTCTCACGCGCTCTCTCCTGCGCTCCCTCCTGCGGGTTCGCTCCCATGCGCACGTTCTCCCTCGCGTCCCGTATCTCCCCTTCTTGAAATGAAAGTGCAATGCAAGAGGAGGCCAATTGATACAGTAAATTTACGAGGAGAGCATAAGATTTTGGGAATTTCAGCGGGGGGATGGAGGATGAAAGGACAGGGAACGCACCTGATAACCACGGTGCCTCACAAAACAACCCGTGCTGCCGCACCAACCCGCGCTCGCGCACTAACTCGCGCTCACGCTCCAACCCGCACTTGCGCTCTGGGCACATGTTGCCGGAGGCGACAGCGGGGAGGAGGGAGAGGCGATGGCGAGGATGAGGGAGAGGCGACGGCGGGGAGGAGGGAGAGGCGACGGCGGGGACGAGGGAGAGGCGACGCTGGGAGGAGGGAGAATCGACGGCAAGGAGGAGGGAGAGGCGACGGCGGGGAGGAGGGAGAGGCGACGGCGGGGAGGAGGGAGAGGCGACGGCGGGGAGGAGGGAGAGGCGACGGCGGGGAGTGGGGCTTGCACTGGAGCCCGTGTGAAGAGCACGGGAGGCGAAAGCATGCAACAGCAGCGTGCAACTGCGAACGTGGGCAGCAAAGGGGCGGAAGTGTGCAGGACGTGGGGGACCCACGTGAAGAGGACGAAACAAAGGTTTCGTGCCTTGACTGACTTGAAGGGACTTTCGCGTGGGACAGGTGGCGAAATTCCAGAATCTGATGGTTAGGCGTGTATGTGTGCTGTGAGTTGTACAAATTGTAAATAGAAGGTAGAATGCGGCTCGATGTCAGGGCTGGCCACCTGAATCGGCATTCCGAGCCGCATGTCCAAAGTACAGTAGCATAAAAATATATTCGTAGAATAGAGAGAGTAGTTCTGCTGTTTCACTTTCTGTTTGTTGTTCCTTGCTTCTAAGGAAAATCTTCTGGTGAAATCCTCAGCCAGAAACACTAGAAGAAGCCCAAGAGCCGTTGAGCTTGTTCCAGGGAGGAGGGAGAGGCGACGGCGGGGAGGAGGGAGAGGCGACGGCGGGGAGGAGGGAGAGGCGACGGCGGGGAAGAGGGAGAGGCGACGGCGGAGAGGAGAGAGATGCGACGGCGGGGAGGAGGGAGAGGCGACGGCGGGGAGGAGGGAGAGGCTGTCGCGATACATATTTTATATGTATGTTTATAACTGCCTGTAGCATTAGCTTTAGTGTAGTTATGCCTTCTTACATTGGTGGTGCACCTTCTCTATGTTCTTTTGCTATATGTTCTTGCAAACCTATAGTGAAACATTTCATTCTCAATCCTCCTTGGCACAACTCTCTTGACACTCGCTTGGCCTAGGCTTCTAAGCCTAGGCCCTAACCCGGTTCCTAAGTTAAGATCGTATCGTAACAGAGGCGACGGCGGGGAGGAGGAAGAGGCGACGGCAGGGAGGAGGGAGAGGCGACGGTGGGGAGGAGGGAGAGGCGACGGCAGAGAGGAGGGAGGGGCGACGACAGGGAGGAGGGAGAGGCGACGGTGGAGAGGAGGGAAAGGCGATGGCGGGGAGGGAGGGCGAGGCGATGGCGGGATGGGGGGAAGCGGAGACGGCGGCTGGGAAGGAAGGAGAGGCGATGGCGGGATTTGAGGGAGAGGTGACGGCGGGATGGGAGGGAGAGGTGACTGCGGGTTGGGAGGAAAACGCAAGAAGAGTCTCTCATTCAAGAGACTCTGGACTAGGAGCAACTGGGTTGAGAGTCGCGAATTCGAGAAGGTAAGGGAAGGACGAGCAGGGAGGGGAGGAAGAGGGGGTGTTGTTTTGCAGGTGGTGAACAAAACTTCCGCTGGGGCAGGCCATACAGTACCTCAGAACAACAGCACGATCATGTGGATTGAATCGTAACAGAAAACAACGCTTGGGCACTTTCCATCCGGAAAAAAAAAGTAAAACAGTTTGGAAGGTAGTGTCACGTTACAATATCCAGTAAATCAAGTGAGGAAAAAACGGCCCGTAATTGCACACGAGGCTCCGTAACCCGGGCCCCGTAATGGGGCGAGGGTTACGGTGTCCTCACGCGGGGCACGCCAGGAAAACGACGAACCCAGGGCTGGGCACTCGGCCGCTCACCCCTGCCACGAAATCGGGCGGCCGACCCTTGGGCTTAGCTGGGGCCCGAGCCACGATCGCACGTGGCTGGGCCGAAAGCTGACCCAGCCCCGGCCCGGCTGATGCAGCTAGGCTGGGACCACCTGACCAATCCGACGACCAGGGCTCTGCCACGCTGACGCAGCACAGACCCGACTGGTTACCCGGCGTCGCAGCGTTGCGATTTCTCGAGTTCAATTTCCCGGTTCGCGAAATCCGTAACCTTGCGTCATGTTGCCCCTGCGAATCTGTCGGCCTTTTTGCAATTCGGTTCACTCGTGCAGCAGTGGAATACAGACTGATTCCCCTTCTGCCCACGGTTTCACAAGGTATTCGACTTCATGCCCCATTTATAAAACGCACTAGCACACAAATCCGCACCTAAAAGACTACATTTTCTCGTGGGTCGCGGTTTTTTTAGCTTTCGTGGGTCGCATTTGTGATACTGGCAACCTGTCCGTAGGTGTTTTCGTGTTGTTGCACAAAACGTTTAGGCGCGAATGCTCGTGCATTGAGGTGTCCTCATGTTAACTTGCAGCTCACCAGCAAAAATCAACCCTGTAATCGTGCGAAATGCCCACGGTATTGAAGTACACGTCTTCGTGGTTTCGGGGGTAAACGTTTCGTGAGCACTCCACAAGCACGGCTGAAGCCCCATTTTCGGACTCGCAGGATTTCCTCGCGAACACTCCGTAAGCGCGCCAGTATCGAGTTTTCAACTTAAAGCACCAAACCACAGTTATAGCTATTGCATCCCAAGATTAGTCAACTTGCATTTACTTTCCCCACCACCCAGCACTCAAATCTGCGCAAAACTCGGAAACTGAAAATAATAATTGCAAAGGCTTTAAGCTCACAGTCGACCTTTCGTGCGTGAATAAATCACGTGGAGCAAAGACAGAACTCTTCTTGTGCGTGAAGCGTGAACCAGAATTCGGAAAAAAAGTTTCGTTTTTGTGGCTGTTCACGAGTTTCTTCTGTACGTTTAATACCGGTCTAATTCGATGTGCAACGGTGCAAATACTAATTTGTCAACACCTGTTAGGCTTCGCAGCTGTGGCCTGAATATTTTCGCGGTTCTCATTTTCGCACGTTGACCCAGCGTGATTTTTACAAGGGTATTCCAGCTTGTTTGTTCTGTTGCAGTCTATTTTGATGTATTACGGTTAAATACGGTAGGTGCTCGAAATCACTTAAACATTGAATGAAACCGTCCTGAGCCACGAATCTCTTAGCGTTTGTACCCGAATCCAGACCGAAATTCACTCGCGGTACACCCGCAGACATGTATTTTCGTGCACGAGCGCATTTTCGTAGAACGCTTTTTTTGTACACGAAAGGACGCTGCCAGTCACGACGTAGTGCTCGATATTCCGGGGCAGTTGGACATGACGTACTTCTAGCGTAAAACGTTGCGAGACTCGTGAGCCAATAATCGTAAACAAAACCAGTCAAGAAGCGAATGACGAACTCGTTACATGCTGTTTAACGAAGTCAGGAAGTTTCGCTACCGAGAAAACCACATCTGCGCGAAACAATGATTGTTCATTTCTAGGCGCGAAACGATTTCGTGTTTCTTGGGTGCACATTTTCACGGAAAGGCGTGTATTGGGGTACGTACGACATATTTTCGAAGCCCATTTATGTTATCGATGCGTGTTTGGTTAGTCTCGGGTGGTTACCTAAGTGACTTTAGAGTGTTGTGTCAGAGGTCCACTGGTGATCCCCGATTGATCCTAGGGAAGGGTTACAGGCTCGTTGTCCTGGGGGGTTATGGGCGCACTCACCCGCTACTTAACAAGCCCTTTTATCCCAATGGTCTAGTGGTTGGGATTCTGACATGGTATCAGAGGGGTCTCGGGTTCGAATCCCGGTGTATGCACATGCAGGCCGTTGCCGCTGTGCTCAGTCCTGGGCCTCCCAGTGTGGGGGGGTGTCAGTTGATCTGCACTGGATGCCCGATTGATCATAGGGAAGGGTTACAGGCTCGTTGTCCTGGGGGGTTATGGGCGCACTCACCCGCTACTTTGTGGAAAGGAGAACGCAAATGAATGAACTATGAATGAAGTGAGTACATATAGGAAACCCTAATTGGGTTGTACCCCCTATGGGATACCCCACTATAGCCTACACAACAGCATAAGCTATATAATGTTCTGACACACCCCCATAGGCAAAGTGGGGGAGAACAAGGGGTCACAAGACCAGTCACGCAAAGCACAGCAAGCTCAGGGTGGATCACAAAGTCACCACACAGTCCGAGCACAACGACAAGGCCACAAGGCCAGTTCACATGCAGGAGGACACATATATATATAGAGCTAGACAAGCAAGAGCAGGTATATATATGTGACAGTACAAGCAAGGTCAAGAGGAGAGCAAGTGAGGCAAGACAGGTACAAGACCCAACTGAGTGCAGAAGCGCTGATGGTCACAAGGCGCAAGTGCCTTGGTGAACACATCAGCAGTGTTGGCCTCAGAGGCCACGTACGCAAGTCGCAACTGACCACGCTGCTGCAGCTCACGAGCAAGAAAGTAACGGAGAGCAATGTGCTTCGTTCTGTGCTCCAAGCGCTGCTCTCGACACAAGGCCAGCATGGCCTTGTTGTCTACGTACAGCACTGGAGGAGAACGAGGCTGCTCTCCAAGGTCAGTCAGCAGGTAGGTGAGCCAGCGAAGCTCCTGTGCAGCCATGGCCCCGGCGTAGATCTCAGCCTCACAACTGGAGCCGAGAACAGAGGACGAGCGAGTAGCCCGCCACGAGACAGAGCCGGAACCAAGACTGAAGGTGTAACCCTGCGACGACCGCTGCGTAGCCTGGTCGTCAGCTCAAGAAGCGTCCGCGTGCCCAGTGAGGACCACTGGACTCCGCCCTCCAAGCACTAGCCCCATGCCCGACGTACTGCACAAGTAGCGCAACACCCTCTTCGCTGCAGCCATGTGCTCTGGTCGGTGTCTCCCAGGAGCAACATAGCGTGCAAGAATGCTAAGAGGGTATGCAAGGTCAGGTCGTGTGCAGGTCATCAGGTACATGAGGCAGCCAACAAGCTCTGGGTACGGGCCACTCGACTCTACGGACTCATCCGAAGGCAGAGCTGAGAGCGAGTGGCGAGTAGACAGAGGAGTGGCCTGAGGCGAGGAGTACGTGAAGCCGCAGCGCTGAAGGACCTGCTGCACCATGTGTGACTGAGTCAAGGTAATGGTGCGGCGTGCTCTGTCCCGAGTGATCTGCAAGCCAAGGTAGCTGCGCAGTTCACCCAGGTCTGTGCACGTGTGTCTCTTCTGCAGCTCGGACTTCACGTAGGCTAGTCCAGCAGTGTCAGCTGTGGCAAAGACCAAGTCGTCGACGTACACGAGGATGTAGAACGGCGGCAAAGAAGTGTCGGTGCGCAGAAACAACGACGGGTCAGCAGTAGAGGGAGCAAACCCAAGAGCCGCAAGCGTAGTCCTCAGTGTGTCGTGCCACTCACGCGGTGCCTGGCGGAGACCGTAGACTGGCCGTCGGAGGCTCCACTGGGTGCCAGGAGGGAAAGTCCCAGTGAAGCCAGGTGGACGGCGCAGCCAGATCTCCTCGTGCAGGCTACCCTGCAAGAAAGCAGTGCTGAAGTCAAGAGAGTGGAGCTCGTAGTCGCGCTGAGCGGCTATGTGCAGCAGCACCCGAAGAGTGGTCATCTTCGGGGTGGGAGAGAAGGTCTGAAAGTAGTCAACTCCCTGCCGCTGACTGAAGCCACGAGCGACGTACCGCGCCTTGAAGACAGGTGGAGAGCCCGGCGGCCGCTTCACCCTGAAGATCCACATGCCACTGACGATGTTCGCCCCAGGAGGGGGCACCGCGTCAACGTAGGTGCCTGTGGACTTCCAGGACGCCATCTCTGCATCCATAGCTGCCTGCCACTGAGAGGAGTAGGGACCCTCTACGGCCTCCGCGTAAGAGCGCGGAGTCGGGATGTCTAGTGCATCCGGGTCTCCCTCAGGGGCAAGTAGTACGGACGCGAGATGAGGTGAAGCAGCAGCCAGACACTGGAACTCCTCCTGCCTGTCCTCAAGGACGTCCGTGCCAAGAGCACACTCACCCCCGACGGACGGAGGACAGACAGACGCAGACTCAGCAACAAGACCGGCAGCGTAGTCTAGACGACAGCGAGCAGCAAAGTCGACGAGCTCAGCAACAAGCGCAGACGCAGCAGTGGACTCAAAAGAGGGGTCAGTGACGACAGTAGCAAGGAGACGTGTGACAGTAGGACTAGCAGCACGAAGAGAGTCGGACTCTGGGTCGGTAAGTGCAGGAAGGGAGGACTCAGGAGGAGAAGGCAAAGGGGCACGCAGAGGAGCAGTGGACGGACGCAAAGACATCCGGTGCGTGCCAGGGACAGGAGGAGGACGCTGACGCGAACCGCGACCACTAGCGCGAGCAGCACGAACAGGCGACGCAGGACGAGACGCAGGCTCACGACGCTCAGCAAGACCTCCAGTGGGACCTGTGTAAGGAGAGGGAGCAGGAAGTGGGGAGGCGGGCTCTAACTGGGACTGTGACTGAACAGGCGATGGACACGCTGCAGGAGGAGAAAGACCAAG